AAGGAGAATGTTGCAGAAAACCAAATGCTAATTTGCTAATGCTAAATGCTAATTTGGAACATGATGCATGTGTGGAGGCGCAGAGCACTGAACTAAAGCAACCAATCAGCAAACTGAAAAATAAAAGATTAATCAAAGCAAATCAAACAAAGAAAAAATCCAAACACAGATCATCTAAAACGGAAAATTACTCAAATCAGTTTTAACCAACAAATAAACATCCACAAACACGAGCTGTCGRCTTCAGATGAGCAACAAGAATAACAAACCTCAGATTAACATTTTATCACATAAAACAATGAGTTACATGAGTCTTTGCCAGCAGCAGCATTTAAACTGTTTGGTGGATAAAACAAATGTCTGACACAACCAGCACTTCTGTATTCTATARAACTTCATGTTTATATCAGCTATCATTAATTCCTGACGATAAAATATCAGTATGAAGACTGTAAACAAACAAAAGCCCAGCCAAAGCTTTTGGCAGACAGGAAGCTATAATTTACATTTCATGACGCCTGGCTGGACTTTGCAGGAAAAAAAAAAAAGAAACCGTGGTCTGATGGCACGGAACAGAAACAGAAGCAAAACATAAATCATCCAGATCTTTTGGCATTGGCATCGTAATGGAGTTTTTTTTTTAAATAAATCACAGAGTAAGAGGAGGATTTGGCTTGTATTTTGCAGCAGAAGCTGTTGTAAACTCCAACATGCTGCGTCTACAAACTCAGGCTTTGTTTGGGGGAAAGATTTTTCCGTCTACACTTACCAGAGACTCGGGGTTTGTCAGAGGATGAGGGACTGGGTTTGGGTCCCTTGTTGCTAAACGACATAAAGAGGTGTTGACAGAACTCCTCGGGGAGTTCGCTCTCCAGGAACGCTTGCATGAAAACCTTGAACCCTTCAAAGTCAATCTCCTGAAAGCGAGACAGAAATAGAAGACGTTTGTCACGAAGACCCTCAGGTTTTAAATACAGACCACTTCCAGGATGAACAGAACTATCTGCTGGGCTGCTTCTGGTGCTGCAGGAAAAACCAGCTGCAGATTTCTCTTCTTGTTTTATTCTYATCACCAGCTAAGATGTTTTTGTTSTTTCTACAGATACTCTTCATCATATAAGCAGATGGATGTTATTTTTATTGCTTTTCACTCTTTGGGCTCATCRGTAACCTTATATTCCATAAAAACACTCTGTGACCACACCAACACTGAGCTTTGATGAGGGTTTGTAGAACTAAATCTTAATAATCAGACTTGTTTAATTATTTTTCTCCTTAGAAAAAGGTATCTTCAGTTGTAATCATTTATATTTAAGTAATTAAGCACGGTTTATTTAAGCAGCACACTTCATAGATTTAAAATCACAAAATGCTTCACAATAGAAGCAAAATATATATTTATTATATACATTTATTAAAAAACAAACACTAGAAACAAAAAGTAAAACGGCGTATAAAACACACAAACTTATCTAAAAGCCTGTTTGTACTAAAAAAAGTCTTCAGATGTTTTTTATTTTCTCACCTCTAAGTAGTTACTTTATGAATTATGTGCTAAAGTAAACAAAAAACAACATTTATAAACTGTAAATAATAAAAAATCTAATAATTAGTGATTAAAAAGTTAGATGTTTGAGATGATTTTAAAGTCAAACAGTCATTTTTACAGGAGTTAATACCTGACTCTTCAAAATAAAATTATTCCGACTGCTGTCTGCTGCAGGTAAGATGCTTACAAGTAAACCAAACTACCTTAACTCAAGAAATATTCCGTTTTCAGTTTGAACAAATAAAAATACTTATTACACATAAGTGATCAGTCTAAATAAAAGATTCTTTAGGTTTTAAATTCCACTTGTTTAATCGAACAGAAGAGGAGAGGAGAGTCGTACCTGGCTGAGGATTTCCTGCTTCTACAATCAAAAGAATGAGAGAAAAACAGAAAATAATCAACACATTTAAGGAAGTGTTGCGTTACTATCAAACACACATTAACATTCTTTCTTTTATCAATGCTGTGTGTTTATTTTTTGTCGTGGCTTCACATTATTTTTAGAAATTTTATGCTGAAAGGAAAGACGAAGCAGAGTTCTTGACGTCATCCTAACTGGCTGCAGTTCTGTGTTTGTTTAAAATCTCTTACTTAACAACTTGAGCATGTTAGGATTATGTTTTTATGAGAAGTAGAGAAGAAACTGGTCCATAAAGCATCTGCAGTGGAAAGTGAACACACCTCCTCTGGGTTGTACTTCGCCAACACTCCGTCTCCATGGAACTCCTGCAACACGTCCTTCAGCTTCTTGGTGGAGTCTGTGGAGGAAGCATCACAACATGAGTCATCACTTCGGCCTTTTTGTGTGTGTGATAAATGCTGACTTTAATTTCATGTTTGTTCATTAGAGGATGCGTATTGCAGCGTAATGAGGTACAGTTTGTACACAAACACACTCTGTGCAGGAAACAGCTTTTCTTTTTGATGTCTCAGGAATGATTTCTGTGAACAGAGAGTCACTCTGGTTGTTGTGACGATGCTATCTAWCTGACTCGACAGAGTCACAGATTTTATCTTGGATGCATCATCCTGGCGTCTGCAGGGAGACAAACTCCATCTGTGAGTTGCGACTGGTTGGTCATAAAKTCCACGGGAAGAGTTACGACTCTGTGCCTCGTAATATCTTTGTAAGGCCTTGGACTTGAGTGCTGCTATTTCTGGMTTTGAGGATTTAGATTCTGTCTGTAGCTATTTTTAACTTTCTCTGGGTCTTGGATATTTTGGTTTACATTTCCATCTGATTGTCACTCTGGCAGGRTATTCTAAAGACATCTGGTTTTGTTGCAGATGTTTTAAAAGGACATTTACTGTTAAAAGTGGTGTCTCACTGGACTGAGACTGTAATTAGTGACTCAAAACTGCAAGAAAAGAGGCAAAATTAGCACTGGCGTCTCAGAGTGACTGATGATGGCATGCTGAAAGGCCACTTTTTGGAAATCCCTGCCCTAATTTCATGTGTGTGAATACAAAACTTCATTCTTGGCTGTGCACATTATTTTTGTTGATCACTTAATTTATAATTCAGTTTGCCGGAGAACACTTTTGATATTAAGATGGGCAGATTTGGAGCAGTTTTTTCAATAAAAATGTTGATCATTAGTGTGTGTATGTGTGTGTGTGTTGGGGGGTGTTAAACTAGAATTTGTTTTTACTCAGAACACATTTTAAGTTTTGATTTTAAATATTATTTTTTATCAGTGTTAGAAACATTAGCAGAAGMTAGCATCAGATAACCAGGACGATGTCATCATCTTGAGCATCCTGTGACAAACTGTGACTGCCCGATCCGTCTCGGTAGCATGATACATATTGTCTGCTCATGGAGTGTGCTCGATTTAGGAAAAAGTACTGAAAATAATTATTTCTATACTTAAWTATAAAGGTGTGTTAAATTAATTTCTAAAAACAGTTTTAATATTGCATACATTTTGGTTAATAAAATATACAGCGGGTAAAATAAGTATTGAACACGTCATCATTTTTCTCAGTAAATATATTAC